AAATATTTATTTGACAACATCTAATTGTCAAATAAATCCGTTGTATACACCTAATTTTTAGATTGGAACCTAATTTTTATTTAGTGAAATTTAACAAGATAAATTGTAAAAACTGCAGAGATTGATTTACCTATTTGAAATGGCTTCACCTTTTTTTTAACTTTTACCATTTGTGAGAATCGATACAAACAAAATGTGGTGTTTTACAATCCAATTCCAAAAAACATACACATCTGGTCACCTTATATATCACAGATATTAACGTTATTTCGGTCATAAGTACCTTATATTTGTTCTTTTGCGCAGCTGTTGTTGTTGTTGTTGTTGCTGGTTTTGTTTTGTTCATATGACTTGCCTGAAAAAAAAAAACAAAAACAACGAAGCGGCGGTGTTTCGCTACAGATGATGATAATTATGAAAACAATAAGAAAATCGTAAAACGACGAAGAACATTTTAACAGCCAACGGCCAAGTTAAGATGATCAAGAAGAAGAAGACAACTAAGACGGCGAAGAACTCTCATGCCCATGGTAAGACACAAAAACACATCAACATTTATTTATGTAGTGCTTGCTGTGCGATCTTCATTTGGTTCGGTTCGCCGCCGCTGCTGCTGTGGCTGTTGTTACTGTTAGTCAGTCTGTCAGTCAGTTAGGTAGATAGATCTGTTTGCAGCCGCCACCTTGGTTGGGTGAAATAAAAAAAGGAAATCTCATCGAAATAATAAAATATAAAATAAAATCATCATCGCCGTCGATGTCGTCGTCGTCGTAGTCTTCTGTGTGCCGTATGACACACACAGTCAGAAAAACCGTCAACAGCTAGCAGCTATAATAAAAACAAACAACAAACAGAGAAAAAGAAACAACATACAGAAGAGAGTCAGTCGGAACAGACAAACGTACACAAACACACGAACCCCCCATACAAACAGCTAGCCAGTCATTCATGAGAGTTCGTAAATGAAATAAAACTAAATGAAAAGTAAGTAAAAGACGACATTAAGTTTGGAGTGAGTCGAACTTTAGGTACGCTTCACTATTGGAAATTAATGGCAACATTGATTTCCAAATTAATTTGCTTTTGTCGTATGGTTAATATTATCGTCTCAATATAATATTATGCATACGCAACAGGGAACAGAAAAGAGGGAGGGCTAGATATTTGTTAAATTTTACTTTAAAGAAGTTCGGGGAGATTTACGTTTTATCTGGGCGAACGTTAATTTTCGGAGACAATTAGAAAACGCCGTTTATACCTCTGTATAATTAAATTACACCAAATGAAGTAATTGATTGTCGATGAGGGAAAGAAGAACTTGAAATTTCTTATGAATATCACCTAATAGGACAAAACACAGTGTTATCGGAACTAAACTTCTGTCTTTTGAGAGCTATCATTTAGAATTTACATGTATGTAGATCAATTCATTAACTATTCGGTACCGTGTCATATACCCACTACAATTATGTTATGATTATGTCAAAAAAAAAAAAAAAAAAAAAAAAAAAAAAAATCGGTCATAGTCCCCAGAAATCGCTCGTTACCGTGATACTGGTAGCGTAGCCCGACGTCAAGGAAATGGACGAAAGAAAACAGCAGAAATGGTTCGAAAAGTAAAAAAGAGGTTTAATCAAACCCGCGTCGTAGTGGCCAAAAATGTCTCATGAGCTGAATATATCGCAATATTCCATTAGGCAAATATTAACCAGAAAAGAAAGTTTTAAAGTCGGGCGTGGCCGACTTTATGATACCCTACACCACTTTGCTGCGCATAACAATTAAAAGTTTTTATGGGAGAATTCAATCATACACGCTATGATTATAATTATAATAATAATAATAATGATAATAATAATAATAATAATAATAATAATAATAATAATAATAATAATAATAATAATAATAATAATAATAATAATAATAATAATAATAATAATAATAATAATAATAATAATAATAATAATAATAATAATAATAATAATAATAATAATAATAATAATAATAATAATAATAATAATAATAATAATAATAATAATAATAATAATAATAATATAATAATAATAATAATAATAATAATAATATAATAATAATAATAATAATATATAATAATAATAATAATATACTAATAATAATAATAATAATAATAATAATAATAATAATAATAATAATAATAATAATAATATAATAATATAATAATAATAATAATAATAATAATAATAATAATAATAATAATAATATAATAATAATAATAATAATAATAATAATAATATAATAATAATAATAATAATATAATAATAATAATAATAATAATAATAATAATAATAATAATAATAATAATAATAATAATAATAATAATAATAATAATAATAATAATAATAATAATAATAATAATAATAATAATAATAATATAATAATAATAATAATAATAATAATAATAATAATAATAATAATAATAATAATAATAATAATAATAATAATAATAATAATAATATAATAATAATAATACTAATAAGAATAATAATAATAATAATAATAATAATAATAATAATAATAATAATAATAATAATAATAATAATAATAATAATAATAATAATGATAATAATAATAATAATAATAATAATAATAATAATAATAATAATAATAATAATAATAATAATAATAATAATAATAATAATAATAATAATAATAATAATAATAATAATAATAATAATAATAATAATAATAATAATAATAATGCCGAAGCATTTGTATCTTTTAAATTCGGACTTGTATTGCCATTTGGTGCACAATTAATTTAAAATCTGATGAAAATGTATATAAAATTTGGCAAAGATATTTCTGAGCTGTATGTGATATATTTCCCTGAATATCGTTGTTACGGAGAGCATATTACGGCTGTGGGTAACAAATATGACAAATCGGATGAACAGTATATATGGGAGCTATAGCTATATCTGAACCGATCTTCACCAAATTTGACATACTAGCTTCTAGACTCAATTCGGTCGTAAGTGCCAAATTTGGGCAAATATTAGACGTTTGGTGCACAATCAAAAGTAAATCGGATGAAGTTATATATGGGAGCTATATCCAAATCTGAACCAATCTCGATAAAATTTAGCAAATGTATTTCTGAGCTGTATTTGATATATTTCCCCAAATATTGCTTTTGCAGAGTGCATATTATGGCTGCGGAGGACAAAAATAACAAATCGGGTGAACAATATATACGGGAGTTATATCTGAACCGATTTTGATCAAATTTGGCATACTTATTTTCAGGTCCAATCTGATCGTACGTGCAAAATCCAATACTATTCGGACTGATATTACACGTTTGGTGCACAATAAAAGCCAAATCGGACGAAGATATATATAGGAGCTATATCTGAATTTTGACCGATTATCTCCAATTTCAATAGGGTTTATCCTTGGGCCAAACAAATGATTTTTGCAAAATTTCATCTGGATGGGACAATAAATGCGAACTGTACTTTGTTTACAAAAATACATGGACGGACGGACGGACATGCATAAATCGACTCAGAATGTGATTCTATGCAGATCATCAAAAGGAACTATGGGTCTATCTTGTTTCCTTTTGCCTGTTACAAACAAATGTACAAAGACATAATACCCTGACCACCTTGTGGTGTGGGGTATAAAAATGAGCTCGGGGGTGCAAGATCAGAAAGAAAATAGACTCAAAAGAGCTAAAGAGTTGCTTCGCTTGGCCCAAAAGTGGTGAACTGCCGAATTTGGTTTTCTCCGGTGAGAAAACAATCGTTGTCCAGCAGTTTGTAAACAAACAAAATGATCGTATTTACTTGCCAAAGAGGTCAGCTGAAAATGCGCACCTTCGGTTGGCCACCAGAACTCAAGCGCCGGCCATGGTGATGGTGCGGGTCGCCATAACAGTCGATGGTCGCTCTCCGCTCGTATTAATCGACCGTGGCATCAGAATAAAGGCCGAATATTATCGCAAAAATATTCTGGACGGTGTGTGTATTAAAGCCTTGGGCACGCAAACATTTTGTCCGCAGACCTTGAACATTCCAACAGGACTCAGCACCATCGCACACAGCACGCGCCACCCAAGAATGCTTACAAAAAGAGGTTCCTCCAATACCAATCCGTTGGACTATTGTGTCTGTAGTATTCTGGAGAGCAAGGTTGGCACTAAAAAATACCAAAGTGTCGATCACCTCCAACAAGCGCTTCGCCGGGAATGGGCCAAAATAGCGCAGAGCAACATTCAGGCAGCGTGTGACGATTTCATTGGCCGTTTGAAGACCATAGATCGTGCCAAAGGTGACCAGTTCGAACAAATTTAAACTTATTCTAAAATTTGATGCTACTTCCGACATTTTTTTCTTTCATTCAATAAAATAAAAAAATGTAAAACTTATGTCGTTTGACGTTGTTGCAGATTTTTTTTTATTTCACCCTGTACAAAAAAAAAAATTACTTTTACTTTACCAAGTAATGAGTAACAACGCCGCAGGGGTCACACCTCCGAATGCATAAGGTCATTGGCTGAAATCCCCGCGTCAGTAAACAAACAAAAAACAAGAAAACACGAAGAGAAGTTAAATAACAATTCACGTTCGGTACAGTGGCTGAGTGCCAATCAGAAGATCACATGTTTAGCCCTTCGGTGTCAATCAGATGATCTCATGTTTAACCACTCCAAAAATTCAAGTGTGGATAATTTAAACTTATTTATTTGCTCTTGGGGACAGTGGGGGTAAATACTTCCTGCCAAATGTCGATGATAAGATAAGGAGTTTGTTTGGCAGCTTTTTTTGTCAAAATGCAATTTTCTATAAAACCATTTATAACTCCTTTTGAGTAAAGACAACCAAACAACATGAGTAACCAGATATATTCCCTAAAAAGTTATAGCTCATCATACAATCAGACTAAAAACAAAAACAAGGTAACAGCAAGAGCAAACAACAATAACAATACATACAATCAAAACGTTCGCATTTAGAGTGCACTCAACAGAAATCAGTTATTGTGGTATTCGTCGTTGTTCGGTGTCATTCATAAAAGTGCTTTTGGTTCGAACGGATACGGTTACTTACAAGCAAGCTAACCAAAGTTATCATTTTCGCTGCGACCGTCGTTTGTCGTCTTCGTTGTTATTATATTTTTTTATCTCATTGTTTTTATTTTTTCGTGTTTACTACCACCAAAAAAAAAACACAAAAAAAGCCCTTTACCACCTCCCCCTCAAACAACAATAATACCGACAAAATACATAGAGAGGTACCTACAACATAGTGTAGCTTGCTATTGCCGGAGCTGAAACAAACAGACAAGCAGCAACTAAAACAACAGCAACAACAACAAACACACACAAAAGCCTACCTAAGAAGATAACCGAAACCAAATGTTCAAACTGCTGTGGCGCTGAACCAAACTTTTTGTTGGTGGCTGGATGGCTTAAACGGACTGACTGACATATAGTCTACACTACTTTATAAAGAGTTTATTGTTGTTATTTTGTTACCGTGTTCTTCTCGCATGCTGTTTGTCGGAATAGTTAGTTAGTTAGCTGGCTGCTTGGCTGGCTGTTTGTTTGACTGGTTGCCTGCCTGCCTGCCTGCCTGCCTGGAAGTTGTATTGTTTGACAACAAAACCAAAGTGGTACAAAAAAGTTTCTTTCAAATCACAAAAAGCTAAACAAAAACAAAACCAACAGCAACAAATCTAAGGCAACACACATCCAACAATAATAACAATAACAACAACAACATAAAGTGTGAGGAGGATTTGAGTGAGATTTTGTTGCGGCCTCTGCCACCACGGCTGTTGATGTTGCTTGCCGAAGTTTGTGTTGTAGTTGTTGTCTCGAGGAGAGACCTCCAAGCTACGACAAACAAAACAAACAATAAAACATAAAAAAGACAATAATAACAACAACAACAACACCAGCAAAAGCTACGAAATTGCATGAAATGAACTTTAGACTCCTCCAATGTCTGTCTGAACACGATCGACCGAGAGACCAAAACCAAGTTCTTTATTACAATTTCGGAAACGAAAACATTAGTGTTTAATGGCAATTGCTAACCAATGGTTGGGAAAACCGAACCGAACCGAAAGATAGACTGACAGACTCTTAGCCAGCCATCAGAATGGTAAGCAACAAATGAAACGATTTGAAAAGAAACTGCCCCGAGATCCACGAGACCAACCATCATAACCGGAGCATTTGTTATGATCGATCACTTGATCGGTTGAAAGAATACTACAAAAATAACAATAACATTAACAATTACACCAGCAATAAAAGAAAATAAACGGAGCGGAACTGAATGGATCGTATCGACTGACCGAAAAAAAACGATATTCTTCATAACCGAACAAAACAAACAGACAAGTATTGAAAAAAAGTGATTTCAAAAAGTTTTGAAATCCTACCTACTGTTGTGAAGTTTAAATCAAATGTTAACATTCTAAATTTAATTAGTGTAACAAACAACTCCACCACCAACAACCACAACAACAATCAATCAATTATCGCCAAACACAAAAAAGTGACACAAGTCTCAAGTTAGGCGAAGTGAAGTGTGAAAAGTGATAAATTAGCGATAAAAAATAAGGCTTTTACTTTTTCCTGATTATTTCTGGACAAGTTTGTAGTCAATGTCCGGCAATTGGAGTTCGTGCTAAAGGAAAGTCCAAACATTATTATTAGTGTTATTATAATAATAATCATAAGAAACAAAAACGAAAGGTGGTCTGGTGGTGCATCCATCTAAGCGCCGTTAAATACAAAACAAACAAACAAACAAACTGCCAAACTAACCTCTCTCTTAGTGTGTCTCACTCTCTCTCTCTCTCTCTCTCTCTCTCTCTTTGACTCGTTGTCGCGGCGGTTACTTGAAACTTTCAATATTTTTGTAACGTTTGACTGCTACCGTTTATTATAACTGTCTGCCAGCCTGAGATTATTATGAGCAACACAATGACCGCTCATGAACCCATAAACTATCTGGACAGCATCCTTAACGAAGAGGAGAAACGTTGCGAGTACAGTCATCAATGGCGGAATTTCACCATATCACGTTCAGGTCGTTTCAAATCGAAAAACAAACATCGCAATGTTGTCGATGGCAAAATGTTTGATCGCAGCACTGGCTCATCATCATCCACATCGTCGTCGTCGTCGTCGTCATCGCCATCCATTAACAACAGCTCACAGCAATCATCAGCATCAGCCGGTGCTTCAATGACATCCTCATTTGATAAGGATAAAAAGGTAAGTTAAGTTTGAAAGGAAACGTTTGATGTGTTGTTTCAAAATTTAGGAAGATAAATGCAAAAATGAAGGTAATAATAAAAACTCCAGAATTGCCAGCTGTAGTTTTTAATTTTAAAATATACAAAAATGTTAAAAATTGTTCACTTAGAAATACACACATTTAGAACAGGGTTAAACAAGATACCATGGGGTAGTTTAAATTCTTCAGATACTCTGGACAAAAGTAAAGGACGTTGTGCAAAAATAAAGGACGTTGTGCAAAGTAACCAGTAAGGAAAGGTGAAAAGTCGGGCAGGGCCGACTATAACATACCCTACACCACTATGCGTATTTATTAGAGCTTCCGTAGCAAAAAAAATATATTAGGATATTATGTGAAGTAGATCATACAAACTATGAAATAAATGAACTAAACCATATTTATGGGAGCTATTACTATTTCTGAACCGATTTTCTCCAAATTTGATGTACAGGGTGAGATAAAAAAACTGCAACTAAGTCAAACGCCCTAATTTTTACTTTTTTTTTCAATTTTATTGTATGAAAGCAAACCATATCGGAAATAGCATTAAATTTTAGAATAAGTTTAGATTTGTTCGAATTGGTCACCTTTGGCACGAATTAAGGCCTTCAAACGGCCAATGAAACCGTCACACAATGCCCGAATGTTGCTCTGCGGTATTTTGGCCCATTACCGGCGAAACGCTTGCCTGAGGTGATCGACACTTTTGGAATTTTTTAGTGCCAACCTTGCTGTCCAAAATACACAATAGTCTAACGGATTGGTATCCGGAGATTTTGGTGGCCATTGTGCGCTGGAAATGAAGCGAGGAACCTCATTTTGTAAATATTCTTGGGTGGCGCGTGCTGACTGCGATAGTGCGGAGAGAGACCATTGGCTGTTATGGCGTCCCACACTATCACCATGGCCGGCGCTTGAGTTCTGGTGGCCAACCGAAGGTGCACAGTTTTAGCTGACCTCTTTGGCATATAAACGCGATCATTTTGTTTGTTTACAAACTGCTGGACAACGAATGTTTTCTCATCGGAGAAAACCAAATTCTGCAGTTCACCACTTTCGCCAAGCGAAGTAACTCTTTAGCTCTTTTGAGTCTATTTTCTATCTGTTGCGGTGTAAGTTCTTGCACTTTTTGGAATTTCAATGGCTTTACCCCGAGCTCATTTTTCAATATTTGCCGAATGGAATATTGCGATATGCTGAACACTTCACAAGCCATTTTTCGGCCACTGCGACGCGGATTTCCATTAAATCGCTTCTTTACTTTTCGAACAATTTCTGCTGATGTTGCTGTTTTCTTCCGTCCACTTCCTTGACAACGGGCTACGCTACCAGTATCACGGTAACGAGCGATGGTATGAGACACAAATGATGTATTCACATTTAAATGCTGGAGTGCTCAAACGGTGGAGTGCACTTGAGGTTTTCCAGCCAAATATAAAGAAATTACACTATATGACTTCCATCACGAAATAAAAAAAAATTCTCACCAAAATGCTGTTGTACGCTTGTAAAAAATATAATGACCTGTCTCCGGAATAATTTTAACAGCGGTCGGACGAGTGGCTTAGAAATGACAACAGCCTGAAGTTGATTGCAGTTTTTTCATCTCACCCTGTACTTGCTTCTAGAATGTATTCGGTCGGATGTGTCAAAACTCAGGTCATTTGGACTGATTTTGGCCATAAATCGACTCAGAAAGTGATTCTAGTAACTATGAGTCTATCTCGCTTCCTTCAACATATTACAAAAAAATGTACAAAGACATAATACCTTGTACCGCTATGTGGTGCAGAATATAAAAACTGCCGAATTTTGTTATTAAATAATTGTGGGAGAAACCTTCAAAATATCGAAAGTCTTGAGGTATCGCTATATGGGGACTGTACCTATTAGTGGACCGGAATCGCAGATTTTTTTCCAAATAGAGAATTGACATACCGAGAAGCTCAATGGCCAAGTTTCAGCTAATTTGGTTTGAAATTGTGGCAGAAGCCTTCAAAATACCGAAAATCTGAGGCAACGTTACGTTATCAATAATAATCACTCACAATCAGCGAACCTTACTAAATCGACTTACAGGAATGACAAATTTAATATACCCTCCATTGTATAGTGGCAACTCATTTTTTTGATGTCTTGGCTCTGGAATCTTTCATAAAAAAACAGTAAAATTGAATTCATAATAAAAGTTCCCCGGCGGTACCTAGAATCATTTTTCCATTTTGATTTGGTTTTAGTTAGCAAAGACAGTGTGAGTTGGCAACTCTAAGAGCCACAATCATTAGCGAGATAGATCATTATGAAATTACCAATTTTTGAATTTATTTATTTGATCTAAATTCAAATTATCTAAAATAGCAATTATACGAGACAAATCAATTTTTGATGTCTTGTTTGATCAAGTTTTTTTGTTTTTTGATTCCAACTCTCAGTTTTTGGTTATATTTAGCATATATTCAAACTTATGTGTGTATTAATTCACATGAGAAAATGTGTGCGTTTTTATGAGAGTATATTCATACACACATATTTGCATAAATACAGTGGTGAGCGATGTAGAAGCAGAGATAACTGGAGCGAAGAAAGAGCGTTTGACTTCGGTGTAACGCGAATAGGCATTCGAAGTTAGTTCAATAAGACTTAGGAATCTACAGGGTGAGATAAAAAAACTGCAACAAAGTCAAACGCCATAATTTTTTTATTTTTTTTTAATTTTATTGAATGAAAACAAAAAATGTCGGAAATAGCATCAAATTTGAGAATAAGTTTAGATTTGTTCGAATTGGTCACATTTGGCACGAATTATGGCTTTCAAACTGCCAATGAAACCGTCACACGTTGCCCGAATGTTGTTCTGCGGTATTTTGGCCCATTCCCGGCGAAGCGCTTGCTTGAGGTGATGGACACTTTGGTATTTTTTAGTACCAACCTTGCTTTCCAAAATACTCCAGACACAATAGGCCAAACGGATTGGTTTCCGGAGATTTTGGTGGCCATTGTGCGCTGGAAATGAAGCGGAGAACCTCATTTTGTAACCATTTTTGGGTGGCGCGTGCTGAGTGCGATTGTGCTGAGTCATGTTGGAATATCCAAGGTCTGCGGCCAAAATGTTTGCGTGCCCAAGGCTTTAATACACCCTCCAGAATATTTTTGCGATAATATTCGGCATTTATTCTGTTGCCACGGTCGATTAATACGAGCGGAGAGCGACTGTCGGTTGTTATGGCGGCCTACACTATCACCATGACCGGCGCGTGAGTTCTGGTGGCCAACCGAAGGTGCACATTTTCAGCTGACCTCTTTGGCAAGTAAACACGATCATTTTGTTTGTTTACAAACTGCTGAACAACGAATGTTTTTTCATTGGAGAAAACCAAATTCGGCAGTTCACCCCTTTCGGCCAAGCGAAGCAACTCTTTAGCTCTTTTTAGTCTATTTTCTTTCTGTTGCGGTGTAAGTTCTTGCATTTTTGGAATTTTAATGGCTTTACCCCGAGCTCATTTTTCAATATTTGCCGAATGGAATATTGCGATATGTTCAGCTCACGAGCAACATTCGGACAGTGGACTTCTTGTGGTTTCATTGGCCATTTGAAGGCCATAATTCGTGCCAAATGTGACCAATTTGAACTAATCTAAACTTATTCTAAAATTTGATGCTATTTCCGACATTTTTTTTTGCATTTGACTTTGTTGCAGTTTTGTAATCTCACCCTGTATGTAAGTGTGTGACATCAAGAATTATAACAATTCTGATATGCACACACGAGAATGCACAAGGATAATAAGAGTGACAACATATATGTAAAAGCATATCGACTGATAGTAATTTTAGATTAACCATTCGATTGATTTTCCCTGACGTATTAGTGACGTATATTTGCAAATTTTTAAGTAAGTTTCAGGTGGAAAAAGCAAATATCTGTTTTTACCTGAAAATTGTCATAATATTGATTAATTGATATTAGTTTTTTACCTTTTTTTATTAGAGTATCTCCACTTAAACACAAACAAGTAAAAAAGCAGTAAGTTCGGCCGGGCCGAACGTTGAATACCCTCCACCATTTGGAACGAATTTGAAAATTTAAAATAAATAAAATCCATTGAAAATTCTGTTACAATCTTTTAAATACCTAAAATCGGAAGGCGCCGATATATGGGGGGATATACGATATTGTGGACCTATATAGACAAATGTATGTCTGGGGTTAAAGTAGTCACAAGAACTCCTTGTGTGGATTTTCAGACAATTCCGTTGAAAAATGTGGCTAAAATCATCAAAATACCGAATATCGGAGGTACCGTTATATGGGGGCTATACGATATCGTGGACCGGTATAGCCCATCTTCGAACTTGGCCTGCCTGCAGACAAAAGAGAAATCTGTACAAATTTTAGCTTCCTTTCTTAATTCGTTTAGACTGTAGCGTGATTACAACAAACGGACAGACGGACGGACAGGGCTAAATCGTCTTAGAATTTTACGCTGATCAAGAATATATATACTTTGTTGGGTCTAAAATGATTATTTCGATGAGTTACAAACGGAATGACGAACTTAATATACTCTCCATACTATGTATGGTGGGAGGTATAAAAATAACATGAGCGAGTTCCGATTATTGAGTTCTAATTGATTTAACTTAGTTTCAGAATTGACCATGTGTCGCCTATTTATACAGTATTTTTGCAAACTATTCGTACATATTTGCTAGCGACTGTAGCTTAAGATGTCGTTATGTTGTTGTTTCTGTTTTTATAGAGTTTATTTCTTTATTTGTATGATCAGTTGTGTTTTTTTGTGAGATTTGTCGGTTCGGTTGCTGTTTAGATGTGAAACAACTAAAAAGGGAGTTTTATGCAGATTTATATGGCTTCTGGTATAAACCGACAGACCAACATACCCTGATACAAATATAACAACTTTTTTTTCGTATTTCTTTTTCATATATCTTTTTTTTGATTTCGTTTCGATTG